CGGAGGCCGCCGCGCCGCAAGGGGGCGCCCGCAGCTACTCCGAGTCGGCAGAACGCCCTCTCGGCGACCCCAGAAGGTACCTGCCCATGTCCCAAAGCCGGGGCGACTCTGAGCCCTGGGGCACCCGGGGTAAAAACCCCCCTGGCGGTGGCTCCGGGCCCGTCCCCGCACACCCGACCTTCGCTACCCCCGATGGGGAGCTGCTCAGCTTCTTCCAGGCCCTGGAGAGCACGGCCACCGTCCAGGACAAGGTGATGGGATGCCACACCCCAGAAGGTACCTGCCCATGTCCCAAAGCCGGGGCGACTCTGAGCCCTGGGGCACCCGGGGTAAAAACCCCCCTGGCGGTGGCTCCGGGCCCGTCCCCGCACACCCGACCTTCGCTACCCCCGATGGGGAGCTGCTCAGCTTCTTCCAGGCCCTGGAGAGCACGGCCACCGTCCAGGACAAGGTGATGGGATGCCACCAAGCGGCCTTGGTGCGTCTCACAGCCAGGACGCAGGCGATCCTGGGAGGGGAGGAGGAGCGGCAGCTGGAGGGAGCAGAGCGCGCAGGAAAGAAGTGGGCAGATTTCACGCTCTTAGAGACAGAGCCCTGTTGTGAAACCGGAGAGGCCTGGTACTACCGCGTCTGCTGCGCCTCTGAGCCACGCCGGCCAATCCTTGCTGCCAAGGTAACCAGAGACCTTGGACGTGGGCCAGTCCTGACCTCAGACAGCGCCCAGATCCACGCGGCTCCCAGACCAAGCACCTCCATGGAGAGCCGGTTTCTGGCTCCCGCTTGAAAGCCGGGCTGGTCGGGTGTGAGGGTGACTATCAGGTCATGGGGAACCGGCGAGGGTCCACAGTCGGAGCCGCCCCGCCCACGGTGGGAGAGCTGATCCAGCCCGGCTGCCTGCTGTCATCTGACTCAGCCGCCCCCAGCTCTGGAGTATGCGGGGGGGGTCAGACCCCCTGTGCCACGCAGCACGTCGGATCTCCCTGGTGCGCCGAGGGGTCTCCGGGGTGCGCAGAGCAGAGCGTAGGGCCTAGGGCCGGGCCGCGGCGGGGGCCTGCCTGGGTGGACGGCTCAGGTTCCCCCAATCACCCCCAGCTGACGGCGTGTTGCCGTTTCTCACCCCAACAGGTCCACAAGTCCTACCCCAGCAGTCTCGCCGTGCAGATGTCCGTGGGGGCTCATTTCAACATTCAGCAAGTGCTTGGCCACTTCCTCGATTCCCCCCCCAAGGACCTCGTGCCTGGGGCAAGGCCGGAGAAGCTGGGCCGGCTCCGTCCTGGAGAGGACGAGGGAGCCATGTCTGCCGGCGCGTCCCCTCCCCTGACCCAGGTCACCCTGTCTCCTGAGGTGCCTTATCAAACCTTGGCTGATTTTGTGCGGGGCTCCCACGTGCTCCACAGCTCCCGGCCCGGCCCCTACGAACGCCTGGCGTGCCTCCTCCTGCTGCAGCTGTGCACGGGGCTGGAGCACCTCAAGCAGCAGCGGGTGGCCGGCGCCGACATTCACATGGAGAACCTGCTCTTGGTGCAGTGTCCGGCTCTGCCCCGGGGCCGGCGGGACGAGACTCCAGCCGCCGCGCTGCCGCTCCCAAGGCTGGTCGTCAGCGACTTCTCGAAGGCCACGGGGCAGAAGAAATCCGCGTCTGTGGCCCGAGACCTAGATCGAGCCAGCACGGCCCCCACGTGGCTCTCGGTGGCTCACGTCCAAAGCACCGAGGGGCTCCAGCTGGGCAAGCTGGTCTACGAGATCCTGCACCTGCCCGACCCCCTGCAGAAGGCCTCAGGACTCAGGAGCGGTGACCTCCCCGCTATCCCAGCCTGGTCCACCTACTCCCGGGGACTCCAGACCCTGGCCAGCCTGCTCCTCCACCCAGATCCCCGCAGGAGCCTGCCCGTCGAACAAGCCAAGGCAGTGCTGCAGATCCTGCTGTGGGGACCACGCCAGGAGCTCCTTCCCAGCCACCAGCTCACTTCCGTCCTGCTTCAGAACTGGCTGGCCATCAAGAGGGCGCTGCTGCTGCTGAGCTTTGCGGAGAAGGCGCCCGAGGCCGCGGCGAGCGTGGGGCTGGAAGACTGGCTGTGCTGCTGCTACTTCACGGAGACCTCGGCGCACACGCTGCTCCGCACCCTCCGGACCCTGCATGCCTCCGACAGCTCGGGAGCGTGCTAGCCCCACAGAGTCCGTCATGTCCCAAATGCCTGGATCCGCTTGGTCCTCTGGCTGGGCTCAGCCCTTCACCCCTCGGAGGGCAGTTTTCTGCAGCTAACTGGGGGGAGTCTTCAGACTTTTAGGACTCGGGTCCTGTTTGCTTTAGAGTTTCCGTGGCCCTTTAACTGAGAACAGGGCCAGCGGCGCCAGGGCCAGCTGGACTGGAGCTCTGGGGTGGAATGTGCCTCCTTGCGCCCGGCACACAGAGGGACTGGGCTGCTTATCCAGCGGCTTGCACCCTTACGCACCCGGCCCTACTCCCGTGGGCTCGCACCGCAGCCAGACCCTAAGCATCTGCCATGAGGGTCTCCTGGATAAACCTCACGCTGTTTACTGCTCCTATCCCAGCCCTCCCATCTGTGCAACCTCCCATCCCATCCCCTCCAGGTTCACTCCTTCCTGGTCCCGGGGACTTCAGGGATGTGCTGTTCCCACCTCCAGCCTCCGCTCCAACTCGTCAGGGATTGTGCAAAATAAGATGGGAGCTTCTGAACTCCATTCTCAGTGACACCCTGGTAGACACCCCCCGCACCCGCGCACTTTGCAGGGTGTTTACTCAGGTTTAGCCTCCTTCAGCCAATTTTCAGGCCATGATTCAATATTTTGTACCAAATTCCCTGGAGTTGTTCTGGAAAAACTTTCTCCCTGAGGGCCAAATGTTCCACGTGGTCATCTGAGTAAGGGCTAGTGGATTGGACCTTTAGACACAAAATCTTCCTTGAAGCATCCACCCCCACGCCCACCCCATAGCCACTAACGACATCGCTTTGGTTTAAAAATAGACTCTAGGGTGCCTTAACGGTTACATGATTAAGGAGAAATATGGTGCATCTGATACACCTGCTCTATTGAGGACTGATAGTTGCATAATTATTACTGTGGAGAACATATTTCAAAGAGGGAAAATGACCAACCTTACAGCAGAACACCGTGGCTACGGATAGACTGGCATGATTTTCCGCAAATGCTTTGAATGGAAAAGTTTTCCGTTAAAAGCATTTGCGGAAAAGAGCGGCTAGATTGGCACGGATGCTTTTCCGCAAAAAAGCCCCGATCGCCATTTTCGCCATCGGGGCTTTTTTGCGGAAAACAAATCATAAGAACATAACATAAGAACGGCCGTACTGGGTCAGACCAAAGGTCCATCTAGCCCAGTGTCCTGTCTGCCGACAGT